CTGCACTCTCATCAGAGAGCAGCACGCACGGTCAAAGGGGCGGCCCAGGAACTGGCTAATGACGTGGAGCATGACAGCACATCACACATATGTTATGTGCCATCAGATGATGTATGAAGCACCGACACGGCACCGGCCGCGGCCGGCTTCCGCAATTATTCATGGCCAGTAATGAAGGAAGGTGTTGACAGGACCGAGTCTATCTTGCAACTTGCAGGCATACTCGTGAAGAAAATGTCATCTATGCATACACAGACCTATCTTAGAATCCAGCGAACCATCAGCATTCGTACTCCCGCCTGAACCAATCCGGCGTCGGCATTCTACCGACGAAGCACCGCACGCAACGCCCCAAACAACACCTCCCCGCTCGCGTGCCGCGCACGAGCACCTGCAAACCACGTACGGTTCGTTAAAAGTTGTTAATTCCCCACGGTCATGCACCGCTTCCGTGCCGTTATTTACGCGTGCTCCACTTCCGAGGCCGGTTATTTACGACTGGTCCGTCCGGTGTTGGCCGGTGTGCGTTCGGGTGCCGTGCAAGTGCACTCACTGCACTAGTGTAAGGAGGCAGGTCACAGGACGTTACATGGGGTTGGACGGTGTCAGGGGTCAGTAGGACGTGGGCCGAGGGGGAAAGGGCAGGTGACTTACGGCGGTCCGTCGACCATGCCCAGCGCTCCAGTCCCGCACCATTGCGCAATGCCCCGTCGCCACCACAGCTGACCCGCCGGCCTCCCAGTATAGCCCTGCCGTCCCACGGGTCAGCTACTGAGCAAACGGGCCGGCATGTTGACCGAGCTCATACAGCCGGCTCATCTGATCAATCAGTCGCCGTCACACACCGATCGACCGGGCCGGTCCGGGGAACGCTGGGCACACCGGCTCCGTACCCCGGGTGATGGTGATGTCCTCTGACAGAGCGGCGGTAGTCGCCCGTCCGGCAGACCATCGCCGGGTCACCCACCGCTCCGACCCCGCTCCGACCGGCAGCGTCGGTCCGCCGACCGCGCGGGGTGCCGTCTCCATCGGCCGCCGCCCAGGATCAATGGCCGCCGGCGGCGCTTACCCCCGCCCCCCGCCCCCACCCCGCCGCAGCCGCCCAGTCAACAAGTCGCTGTCGGCGGCCGGTGGGCGGCAGTCAGGAGCGACGGCCAGGCCAGGAGGGATGGAGTGGGGCCGGGTCGACCCCAGCGGTCAGACACTGACCAGACGGCTGCCTCGGGTCGACACGCAGCCGCACCGGGAGCCGAAATAGCCGTCACAGCAGTCCGACGCCCCTGACACTCCCTCCCTCTGCAGTTCTACGTCCTCTCCCTCTCCCCTCGGGCGTCCAGAGCAAATAATTGCCGCGGGCGCCGACACCGAAAACAATTTCGGCTGTCGATCTATTAATTTCCACGGCGGGTGCTCGTCCCGGGCCAACGGCAGAGTGCAGGGAATCATCGTCAAGTGCCGACCCCGGGCAGGGGCCAGTCTGAATACACACTACAAAATAGCAGACCAATCAACTCAAGGTAATTCTGATCGCATCACAGAAGCACAAGTACGCAGCTGACGCTCCCAGTATATCTCTCGGAATATCCCTCGCACCCTCTGCTGTCCGACGAGCGGCTAGCGGCCGGCTGGAGGGTGCGTTAGCGCTGCACAGCAAAGTAAGCACCCGTGTCGGCCATCGCACCCAATTGACAATCCGTGTGAGTAACGACAGAAGCCGCATACCGACACCGCGCCCGTCGTCGGACTCGTAATTCTCATGAGCTGCAGCGTATTGACTGAGCGGCCGGCCAGCTGTGCAAACGTTAGTTCTCGGCCGGTGCAGCGGGGTCGAGCTGCAGCCGGTCGTGGCCAAAAACCAACACCACCCGGCCAAACGGCAGTGTCCGCGCCAGCCTGGGACCGCCAAGGCTGCTGACGTATACACGGGCATGTGGAAGGGCACGGCCCACTTCCCGGCACGAATCGCACCCAGTTCGTGACAGGGCTGGGAAAACGCTGGGAATACCACCATTGGGACCAATCGTGTTATAGCTCGGTGTTGTCCGACAATATTGCTGCAGACAGGCTGATTCATACCGCGTACGCAATTGGTCTTTGCAAAATAGATTGCCTAACAATTACGCTGCTATGGTGACAAAATACATTACGGGAAAACAACTGTCAGGTAAGTGAGTTTTCTGTCCGTCCGCGTAAAAACAAACAGAGGACCCGGCAGAGTCCATTATCTAGGGACAATAGTGCCGTGGACGTGCTCACATACACAGAGCTGGGGCGGCTTCCGCCCGTGCCGGCCGGCGGAGTGGGGCGGCGGCCGGGCGGGGCTCGGCCGATGGCGCACATTCAATTTACCGGCCCGCTGACTGCGCGTGACGGCCACGGCAGCTCTAAACACAACAGGGTCGCCGCCATGGCCCGGCCTTTGTTGGCAGGAACAGGAAACGATTCCAACTGAGCCGGCGCCATCCGCGGGGAGCAGACATCAGTCAACCACCGCGCCCGACGCACCGGGTCCCACACACCCCTCCAATAGTGATAAATGATTCAGACGCTGATATCAAAACCGACACCCTGCCAGCCCCGCCGCGCTGCCAGTCTCCGCGCGGGACAGTGGGAAGGGGCTTAGGGGAGGGGCGCACAGGCAGGCAGCGCTAAAACACGTGCGCCTCGCAAGAAACCCGGTAGCACCAGCCGCGGTAACACTAAGTGACGGCGAAAGTTTCCGCCGCGCCTCGGGCGTGACGACGATACACCAACTTCCCAGCGGCGCACAATGGGCCCAGGGCGGCGCACAGTGCCACAAACTCTGCCCCGAGTGGCGAAATTCACAGCCGGAGTCGGGGAGAAAAATGGGCGCCACGTGGGGACCGCCCCGAGAGCCCCTCCGGCCGAGAGACGCCTGCAGTTCCGGCGGCAAAAACAGCGCACCGCGGCGCCGAGCGTGAGAACACCAACACAGGCCGGCCAGACAGTGAGTGGCGCGGATGTGACGAGAAATGGCGGACCGCCATCTTCTTGGCAGGTATTGTTCGGGACTCGGGAGTCGGCTGGACAGAGTGCCAGAAACCGAGCGGCGGCAAACGCATGGCAAACGGGTGCGTGCCCGCCACCCGGCATGAGATGAGAACTATGCATGCATGGCACCATAACTCCACAAACGCCTTTGGAGCACCCAACTTCTAAGAGCTATCCCAAGTCCCAACCACACGAAAACGAGCAAATGGCTCACACAGCCCTACCGGCATTTCAGACCTGAGAGGACCAGTGCTGATTCGATTACATTCACCTCGTGAAGCCGCTTCCTCCCGCCTTGCAGTGGGTGCCCACTGGGCTGGGTGACATTTTCAGCTCTGCCCACCCGCCGGCGGATATTGGCAGCCCCGTGGGGTGTCTATGACACCACAGCGGGCGCGAGTGGAGCCTTAGAGGCAGCATCTGAGGAGCCACGCCCACACAGCACGAGGCTTTCTGGAAATATATAATTGTAGGTACCGGTTGGTACGCTCGGCTTCCGGAACTTGAATGGAGATCAAGTGGCCTCGTGGAACGGTTGAATATAATGTGCACAAGCACGCGGTCGCTCTTCTTTATTAGTAAAAAAGTTGCATTCATAAAATCCTTACATTCGTGTCGTCGACTATTCCAAAAATTCCAACCATCATGTCAACCTAATTACCTACCAGAAGTAGGCAGCAAACAAGCTTATAGAAAACACATCATGTTTACGCTCATCATCTGCAATTTCCCATAGCAAACATCTGAAGAAAAAAATAAAAAAGGCGTCAGCCTTGCCACGTCCATCAGACATAGCTATAAACTACGCTGTTGCAGATACCACTAATGGAAGCTTGTCGCCAAACAAACCAAGTCGCTGCGTAGGGACATCCTAGCAAAACATCGTAAATATACATTCCACGAGCCGTTCCATTGCAACTGCATTACTGCCATACAATTACCAGCCATGTCCCAGGCCTATAACGTGCTTTATCGGTGACACGACGAGCACCACCACAAATGCGAATGTCAGGATGACAATGCTTGGTGTGCCCCTGACCCGACGGAAGCTAGCGTCCTTGCCGTGGAGCTGAGCTGCTACCTGGCCACTTGCAGGCATGGAAGACCGACGAGTCTCCATGTGCACCGCAACTCCATGGCAATGACCTGCTACTGCTGGGGGAAACAAGCAGTTCCCCGCACACCAAACCATGCAGCCCTTCAGTGCTCTGCTGAGTAGTCACTACTGAGCGCAGTGGTTGGTCCATGTGAGCCCGGACGTTTATCAGTGGCGGCCAACCCCACAGGTTCCTCTCACCAACAACGGTCCATCTGCAGCCACAGCCTCGCACATTTTACAGACATTTGCCTCAGCTCACAGGCTGGATCAGCCTCCGCTTTCTGTGGTAGCTCACGCACACCTCAGCCGTCCAGCTTCAGGTCCAGTCGCGAGCCATGGTACCCCGCAGCCCTCCAGCCCCATCACAGCTCTCCAGCCGTCCAGTCCCTGTTCTCGGGCTCCAGCCCCAGATCACCAGCCATCCAGCCCGTGTTCTCAGCCCCAGTCGCAGTCCAGCACGACAAGACGAATGACCGGCGGCCGGCGACACCCCCGACATTTATCATAGCCGGATTAGAGTGGCTCACTGGGGTGGGTGGGGAACAGGGACGCTCGAGTGGGGAACGACAGACCTCGTAGTGACGGTGGTCAGTGAGTGAGGCAGCTGGATGCATATGGGGAAGGGGTGGTAAGAACGGGCGACCGAACGGGATCAAACGGACAACAAAACTATCAGCAAAGGCATATAACAGATGAGAGATCGGAGAGACAAGACAAAGGGCAAGCGATTGAATGGAAGGGAAGAGGAAAATAACAGCAGACCCTAAGTGTTCAAAGTAGTAAGTATGACAGGATAGTCCCAAATTCCCGCCCTCTCTGCCAGTCCCCACTGGTCGCATCTGGTGCTGGTGCTGGACACTGGTGCTGACTGCTGGTGCCGCAGACTCACCTTGCTGCTGGTCATGACGTAGAGGTGGTGCTGGCGCGGGTCGAAGCGCAGGTCGGGTAGCACCTTGTGGCCGGGCTGGACGGGCAGGTCGGCGTACTGAGTGGCGCTGACCTGGCGGTCCAGCGAGCCCGGGTCGGCCTCCATCACCACCTGCAACACGGCGCCGCCAGGTCAGGAGGACATACATCGACACAGAATAATACACACGCTTTGGTGAGCAGATGTTTAGGCGGAGAAACGTTGAGATGGAAACAGAAAGATCTTAAGAGAATACATGACATGGGAAAGGGGTCCTTTTTTGCAAAAAAAAAACATGTACTTTAAAAGACAGCCAGTTACATAACTAACGAAAGAAATGCCAATGGAGCCCTTTATTTAAAGCAGTGGACTATTTTGAGCAGAGGACTAGTCACCGTGTCCCCTTGTCACACAACCCACAGTTCAGCCACGTGGCTTCCCGGTTCGCCGGAAATTGGACCGTGTTCGGACGTGTCAATTAAACTTGCAGCAAGTGAGTTGTCTGAATTAATTCTCAGCTGTGCCCCGTTCCTGCGTGATTTATGGGAGCTCGACGCCGGTCGCTCTCTCCACCCGAAAGAGTCGACGCGAGCCACCTCCCCACCGGGGGCACAAGACCGACAAGTGTCACTCCACAACGCGACGCTTGTGTCAGTCTATCCACAACACACCAGCATCATCACGAATTTACCGCAGCAGCGGCGGCGGAGGACGGGTGAGCATAATCAGCCCCGACTGGAAAAAATGCACGCTTTCGTCGAGAACTCGAGCGTAGTTGGGCGTTTGCGCCGAAAATTTTCGGCGTACTTCGGCGTAAATCGACGGCTTGCGCCGAAATTTTCGGCGTACTTCGGCGTAAATCGCGAAAAAACGTCCGGGGAGTGGCACCAACCCCCCTCGGCCGGCGAGGGTTAAATGTCTTCGGGAGTTTAACATCTTAAATATCACTTATCTTGTCTCGTATTCGTCTCAGGGTATTTAAGTCATGTTCAGTGAACCTGATTGCGACTCTCCCACGGCGGGAACAGTTCACCGATCCAGAGTGAGGTTATGGATTGTTGGATCCCCTAGTTCAGATAACGTATGCTATCGTGCGCGTATTGACCGTTGTGATTCCTGTATTTCCGGCGTGTGGTTTGTGAGCGGACGCTGGCAATCGGTCCCGCGTGGCCTGGTATCTGCCCGATCCCATCGGCCGTGCTTGCACCACGCCTGTTGAAGGCCCCGTCAGGCGTCAGTCACCGGCTGGGCACTACTGCTGATCAGAGCCGGGCAACAAAATAAAGGTTACGTTATGGAACATGCCAGTGAGTTTGTGAGTCAGGAGATTTTGTGATAGCGAACCCTGGTGCTCGGTCCCGCATGGCCTGCTGATGTCTTTTGTCTGCCCGATCCCGTCGACCGTGCCAACAACCGTCTGTAGACAGTAGTCACTGGAAGACAGTCACACACACGCCAGCCCCCCCCCCCCCCCCTCAACGAAAAGTGCGTGGCTACAGCCTGCAGCCATCAGTAAGCCTTGAAAATTTTCGGCGCATGAAGCATGGCTTGGTAAAATAATTTCGGCGCATAAACCCTTGCGCCGAAATTTCGGCGCATCACCTCCGCCGAGAACTTCAGCGTAGTGGAGGCATTTTTTCCAGTCGGGTAATCAGCCCACCACGCCTCAGCTCTGTCGCGCCCGGCGGAGGTTCGCTCGGAGCTTCCCCAGGCCCACCTCCGGTCCAAGTGTTTCTCCCCAGCCCGGGGCAGCGCGCCGGTCCTCCGTGATTAAAATTCTTCCCCAACTGGCCTCTAACTCGGGGCGTCAGCCGACGCGCTAACTATCCGTATCGGGAGAGGCGTGCAGTGGGTAGGCTGGCGCTACCGCCAGCGCTGCGATTGCGTCGTCTGTGCTACTGGAGGCACTGGGTGCGCTGAGTTGCATCGACTTGCAGTTCGGCTAGCCCGATTGCGGATGTGGTAGTAAAGACTCAGTCTTTTCCGCAGCAGGCCGCCCACTTAGCAGTCGGAGCAGAACAACCTTATCAAACTAATGATAACCAAGTTTAAGCTTTGCGGGACCACTCACTTCGCAGAATTTCTCCAACTTCGACTATTTTTAACCGAACCTAATTTGCTCTAACTGGTCGGAGCAGCGCCGGCCAGTGGAGCGGATACGACCCCACCCCGTCGAGCGCACCCTCTCTGGTCAGTCAGCCCGCATGGGGCACCTCTATGCGACGCGCGTCGTTGTTGCGTCGGGGCTCTGTCGTTTTATAGACGTCCAAACAATGGCTCCCGGCGGCGCGGGGCGCGGCGCGCGGCGGTCGACGGGCCAATCGATGCCGGGCCCGCAGCAATAAGGACCGACACGATAGCTGGCCCGGCGGCGCTCCGGAGGCCAATCACGGTAAGCATACGGACAGATACGGCCCGACCGTACGGACATACGGCCCGTCCAGCCGCCGACCCGCCGGGATCGAACGGCCGCGCAGCGACAAAGTTTGGTAATGAATGCTTTACAAGACAGGGAATCGCCAGGGGGACCGGCAGCATTCGACAAACATCGCCGAAAGCGGGGCAACAAGTAGCTGCATTACGAAACAAGTTCATAACTCGGGCCGGTTCGGAAAGTTGGCTCGCCAGGGGCCATGCTGACAGCTGGTCAATTTAGAGCGCTGTCTTACAACGAAAAATGCGCAGCGAACTGCCGTCCAAAACGAAAACAAACACGTCATGCTTTGTTAATTCAAATTAGTAATATGTACATCAGATTCTGTAGGCTTGCAAGGCGGCACTAGTGCATCAACACCTTGCAAAGTTAGGTCAGGAGTGATAAAATGCAAGACTGACATATGTTAGCAAGTAAAAAAGACGCCTAGATGTAGCGGAAAAAGTAGCACGGCAGCCCTAGAGGCGGTCAAGTCCATCTATCCATCTCTGAGAAACGGCTCCTCAGAACTGAAATAAATCCCGGTCTGAGGGAGGCTGACAAAATATATAAACCACCGGTGGGTCGTTAAATAATTTATAAACCGTGCAATGGCCTAATAAAATACAGAAGGCAGGCCAAACGGGTTCGACGTAAGCTTGCTGTCTGGTTAGTCGAGCCAGACGGTGATAAAACAGCGAGCCAGCCAAGGAGAGAGAAACGAACTTCAACGGGGTGACATAAATTCACGGACAGAAACCGCCAGACTAGGGACACTCAAATGAAACGCCGATTAACATCCTGGTGTGGGAACTAAACTGCAAAGAAAAGGGAAGTGAGAAAACGGCCCAGCTATGACAGTGCGCGACGGAACACGATGTAATCCTTATACTTGTGAGCCTAGGCGTTTCGGGTTTTGGCGAGAGTTGTTTCTCCAAATATCGCACAGCTGTCAGAATATCCCAATTTTGTACCCCTCTCCTCTGTCTCCCCTCTCTCTTTCGGTCATGAGGTGGTAGAGTTACTCGGTCTGCACCTCCAATTCGCCGGGACCTGCCACCGATGGGAAAAGTTCCCCACTCAGCCCCGTTAACGGAGAGCGATGGCCGCTGAAACATCGATATATCACTTATTTGAAATTAACTCGCGGCGCGCGTCAGGCCGCTAAATTTGCCCCGGTTCCGGCGCAGCATCGGACGGGCAGTCTGTCGGACGAAATGGTCGGCGCACACGGAGACTGAATGACCTGAACCGGGTGTAACCGGCTCGCGCACAGCACAGCCATCGAGCAGAGAGCCATCGAGCGGAGAGCCATCGGCCCAGCCACCGCGTCGGTCGGATGAACTAGCGGAACACGTGTAAAGAATAGAAGGGAGTCCCTAGTGAGACATTAGTCAGGAGGGGCGCTACCCAGCACAAAACAAAGCGGCGGGAGCGGGCACGGCTGCGGAAAGGACAGAAATCACTTAACGCGGTAGGTTGCGTAGTTGAAACGCTGAAAGCCGGTGCAGCGCCGTGCGTCTCTCTTAAAAGGTAGCCGACGCAATCACTTGCCACTGTAAACCAGCTAGAACAGCCGGCGGCACTCTAGCGAGAGTGAATGATTTTCAGCCCAAGCACCACCATCATAAGCCACTGCAACAGCAGATGAAATTCCACATTCCTTTAGCATTTCACATAGCTCGGATTCACCCATCCCAGAATACTCCACAGATCGATAGGTAGCCCACAAAGTGGCGGCGTCTTGCCACCGGCGCCAAATTTGTTGCCGGCGCCACTTTGCATTCATCTATCACCTCGGCGCATCCGGGCTCTGTATTATTCATCGGCACTGGTGCGATGCATCATTAGCTGATGCAGTGCCGCGCGCCGGCTGACAACACAGGCGGCGCAGATTGGCGGCGACAACAGGCGCCGGCGCCGGGTCTGTTCGATAGCTGTGCACTGTGGTCAGCGCTCACAGCGGGCGCTGACCGGGCTCACACCGGTGTCCATTCACTATTTATCACTCTTTATGACAGCGACTTGATTGCTGCCGCAGGTGCGGATTGCATGTGTCCAATTCAAAGTTCGATCCTCGTCACCGCAAAAAAAAAAAACAGAACAGCGTACGGTTCGATACCACAGACCCTGATAAATAAACGAGTGTGGCCCGTACTCTTTATAACGCCCCTGTCACGCAAGGTCCGTTCACAGAAGCTTTGATGCGGCGGCAATCACTCATCCGACGCGCGACCTCTGGGACTGACCACCGTTAGCCGGACGGTCCCCACGACTCCACCACACTTTCCCGCTCAGTCACTTCCTGTGCAGTTGGCTGCAATGGAACTGCAGCACCGCGGCAAATACGCACCATCACGCCCCAGCACTACCGGCTCATACAATGACACCCAGTCGCTGACCGCCGGAACACCGAGTGCGCGGAACCGCGGTGGATCGCGTTGGACACGATCGCGTCAGCGTAAGCCGCGTCATCCGCCGCTGCTGTTGTGGCGCAGGTTATAATCCCTCACACCGGCGGTGTCCCGGCTCGGTTCTGTTCGAATCCCTGGCCCAATCTTACCAAATGCCGTGAATGCGCATTCACGGCATTTGGTAACATTCAGAACTATTCCGCATTCACTTATTCATTCGTTCAGGCAACATTCATAATTATTCACGCCATCAAAATCATTGGACAAGATTAACTGGATAAAAATAAACAGGATTTCTTTGATAT